ACACAAGCCATGATTGGTTAGGTTAGATTATATTTGATTAGATTGAGTTAGATGAGGCTAGGTTAGGTTATATTCAGGTTATATTAAGTTAGGTTAGGCTTAGGTCAGTTTAGATTAAGTTAGGTTAACTTAGGTATGGTTATGATAGGGTAGCTTGAGTTAGGATAGACTAGGTTAAGACAGGCTAGATTAGGCTACTATAGACAGGCTTGGTTACTTTAGGTTCATATAACTAGAAATGGTTCAGTTAGGTTAGAATTTTAGATTAGACAATTGCCTTTTCAGAAGTAAACAGAACATGGAGGCTGCGAGTCCTTCCTCCAGAGATATCAGGAAATAGTGCAGATGGCGCTCCCGTCAGCCCTCAGTGCCGGTATCAACAACCAATTAGAATGCAGCCAGAGAGCGTAAATGTCACGTTAGGTAGAAATAATAATTAGACAGTAGATAACATTTATAAATACTGTGTGAGGGAGAGAGAGAGAGAGGGGAGGGGAATGGATACCTTTATGACGAGATATCAAGAACGCATACTTTACATTTTCTAGAAACACGAAGTAAACAAATGGATGAAAAGGGTGTAGCACGGAAAGATCAATATGTTCCGGATAACGTGGGTTTCCGGAACGTGTCTAGTTGTTTCTTGAACACATGTTTGTCGGAAGATATTGAATAGCCGCGTGGACCTCTGATGTTCATAGTGTTTCCTGATCGTGCTGTTGGGCCTCTACACTTCACCGGGTCTATTCTGCGTTTCCTTATATAGTACATATTATGTTATATATCTCTCTCGTTTCCTCTTGAGAGAATACATATATACACAGAGGAAGGCCAGGACCCACCCCCCCCACACACACACATACAAAGGAAGGCCGGGAAACCCCCCCCCCCCTACAGACAGGAAGACTATGACCCCCCCCCCCCCACACATACACAGGAAGACCAGGACCCCCCCCACAAGGGAAGACCAGGACTCCCCCCCCCACAAGGGAAGACCAGGACCCCCCCCCCACAAGGGAAGACCAGGACTCCCCCCCCCCCACAAGGGAAGACCAGGACCCCCCCCCACAAGGGAAGACCAGGACTCCCCCCCCCCACAAGGGAAGACCAGGACCCCTCCCCCACACAGGAAGGCTGGGACACCCTCCCCTCCTGACAGTATACACGTGATCTGACCCAGGTAAACAGCACGGTGTATCCCACGCCTGCCTGGGTATACATGCCTATCCACGCCTCTGGAACACATCCTATCCACGCCTCTTCGTCTGCACACCTATCCACGCACTCTCTTACACTCATCTTCCCCCCCCCCCCGGCCCTCCTCGTGTACAAGACTTCTCCACGCCCATCAACGCTAAGTTTACACTCCACGCTCATCTAAGCCACATTTTATACACGTACATCCACGCCTGTTCTTTGATGGGAATATCCACTCTCGTGGATATCTATCTCTCTATCCACTCTCGTGGATAGTCCGTAAATCCTAGCTTCCTAATTTAGGCGTCTGTGAGCGCCCAACTACTTGGGCTGGACGGTAGGGCGACGGTCTCCCTTCCTGCAGGTCGGCGTTCAATCCCCGACCGCCCAAGGGGTTGGGCACTATTCCTTCCCCCCCGTCCCATCCCAAATCCTTATCCTGACCCCTTCCCAGTGCTATACAAGTCATAATGGCTTGGCGCTTTCTCCTGATGTCCTCTCCCTCATCAACGCCATCTCCTGTACACATTCATCAACGCCATCTCCTGTACACACTCATCAACGCCTCTTTAACATACTTAGGTTATCGATGCCTCATAAACATCCTTCCACACATAATGTCTATCCACGCCCTCATACATGATTATACATTCCTCATGTATATCTATACAGAGCTTATATATGTCTACCGATTCCTCATGCGTCTATACATGCCTCATGCATGTCTATACATGCCTCATACATGTCTAAACGCACCTCATGCATGTATATACACGCCTCATACATGTCTGAACGTCTTAAATCTATCCACTCTTCATACATATCCACGTCTCATAAATGCCTATAGACGCCTCATACATATGTATCCATGTCTCATACTGTCTATACACGCCTCATACGTATCTATCCATACCTTATACATGTCTATACACGATTTATACGCGTCTATCCACGCGCCTATCCCTCAAATTATCCCTCTCCCTCTCCTCCATCCCTGGGACCCTCCACGTCCCATCCCACAGTCATTTCCCCACCTCATCAGCTCTTATCATCTATGTTGACCAGACCACACACTAGAAGGTGAAGGGATGACCACGTTTCGCTCCGTCCTGGACCATTCTCAAGTCGATTTCGGTCCAGGACGGACCGAAACGTCGTCGTCCCTTCACCTTCTAGTGTGTGGTCTGGTCAACATACTTTAGCCACGTTAGTGTGTCTTATCATCTATCTATACTCCCACGCAGAGCCACGCCTTCTATCCAAACGCATACCACGCCCTCTCCTTCCATTCCGCCCTGACCCCATCACCTCTCTTCTGTTCGTCTACTGCTATTTCAACACTGTCTATCAGTCTTCGGTCTGTCTATGCCTGCGTGCCGTCATCGCCGTCTTCTCTTTCATCTCAAGGTGGAAGTAAACCTCTTAGGACAGCCTCTTAGGACAATGGACAACCTCTTTAGAGTGAGAGACTCTATTAAGATATAAGTGGAAGCTGGCTAATGAGTCGAAGGAATGTAAGGAAGTACTCGTACCCCTGTACAGGCGGTCAACAAGTGGAATGCACTGAAAGTAGTTGTGGAAGCCACCTCCATCCACAAAGCCAGACTCGATAAAGAATTCGATCAGCAGAACAGTTAAATTATAAAATTAACAGAGCAAGGCTAGCAAGCGGGGGTAGAAAGAGCTAGACCCTGCACTTGCGTAGACTCTGATAGGTAAGTACTTCTACCACCACTGCCGCCGCCGCGGCCTCCAGCGGCCGAGCAGAAAGCCATTGGGCAACAAATCTGGCGACTACCTACCTTACCTTGAGGCTACCTTGAGGTGCTTCCGGGGCTTAGTGTCCCCGCGGCCCGGTCGTCGACCAGGCCTCCTGGTTGCTGGACTGACTAAGCAGCAGGTAGCGACCATCGGGGTGTAGAACAAACCCAGCAGGTAAGTGTCAAGTCGGGCAGGGGGGGGGGGGTAGGCGATTATACCAGTGCGGGTATTATAGATTATAGCAGGGCGCGGATTATAGCTTACAGGAGGACGGGTATTATAGATTTAGGGTAATAGAATCATGGTGGTTGGTGGGGAAGGAGGGAGGGGTATGGGGTAAGAATAAGTGGTAATAGGTCATATTAGGGGCTATAGGAAGAGGGTTCTGGAGGGGGGAGGGGGGAAGGTGATGCTTGTTAAGAGGTAGGAATTTAAACAATCATTTTCCGGCGTCGTGTGTATTTTTTGTTGTTGTGATAAATAGTGCGGAAGACGAGTTATAAATAGGAAAATATGCAGTAGAAGTAGTAGCAACATCACCACCATCACCACCACCACCACCAGGAGGCATCTACACCATACAGGGTCGGCAGCTACAGGAATCAGAAAGAGAAGGATCTGGGAGTAGCTACAGTTTTAACACTACACCGGAGGCACACATAAACAGGATAACATCGCCAGCATATGGAACGCTGGCAAATAAATGAACGTTGTTTAGAAACTTGACTCAGGATTCCTTCAAGACAGTCTACACAACATTTGTTGGAGCAATACTGGAATATGCAGCACCGGCATGGAAGCCACATCTTGTGAAGCATAAAGCCAAAACTGAACAAGTACAAAGGTTTGCAACAAGACTGGTGCCGGAGCTAAGAGGTCGAAGCTATAGGTTAGTGGAACTGTCGCCACAACTGCTTAGGTTAACATATATAGTAATATGAAGACTATAGACAGGTTATCAAAGTTGAATTTTGGTTTGCGAAGTCGACTCACAACTAATTGGTCCTGGGTTCGATTCCCTGGCAGGGAAATACATCTGGCCTGTTTTTTTCAGCCCATCCTCATAAAAAAATGACCAAATACTCATTAATCCAACAGCCACACCCCCTCCCCAATGTTATGAGTGAAAAATACTTTACACATGACTCACAACTGATGACGTTCGAACTTTTCTCGAAGAGTGCTTCGCTCACTTCCAATGTTCGAATCCCACCTCATAAATGCTTCACTCACAAGCTGCAAATACAAATAATTGCCAACAGAACCAAAACACCTACCCTAACCTATCCTAGGTCTAACTATACACACACAATAATCACACAGTAATGTTAAATTATATATGAGAAAAAAATACGTTTATTAATACACTATGTTAAAATTGATGAGTGCGTCTTTTGTGGAGTTAGAAGAGTGTCGTTTTGAGTTCCATCCTGGAGAGTGCCAGTCGCTGGCCTAAGGGTACCTCGAAAAGCCTTAAAGGCTTCCTGTCCCTGAAAATGGGAAACCAGGTTTGTGGAGGCTTACTCTCGCTCTCAAGAGTCGCTAGTTTACAAATTATAGATAAAACGTAACGATATTATGCATGATATAATTTGGACATTAGATAATAATTATCATCAATAGCAATGTACAGAGTGAAGGCTGTCTGTTTCTCCCAGATGTTAAACACTAATGTGGGTATAGATTATATATAGATTACTAGTAATGTAGAGTGACTATGTAGTGTGTATGTTAAGTGTACAATGATCGCGGACAAGAGAGAGAGAGAGAGAGAGAGAGAGAGAGAGAGAGAGAGAGAGAGAGAGAGAGAGAGAGAGAGAGAGAGAGAGAGTTTTTGAACACCATAAACACCTTTGTGAGTGGGCATGTACACAGGACCCCCACGTATTGACAGAAGCAGCAGCCGCCCAAACCGCCATCACACTCACCCACTTCTGCCCGTGTTCCAACTACCTCTACCCCCCTCCCTCCTAACTGTCCAACTACACCCACCCTCTCCCCCCCCCCCCCACACACACAGCAGGGAAAAGGACACCACCTACCTGACGTAGTCTCTCTTGCAGTAGGTCTTGCCGTCCCTGACGAAGCAGGTGCAGTACTCGTCGAGGAACTGGTGGCAGTCGACGCACTTGAGGCAGGCGGCGTGCCACTCCATGTCCGGCGCCACCCGCAGGATGTACTGGTCGTGGATCACGGCTCCGCACCCTATACACACCGAGACTCTCCCGCCTCTCTCCGCTGCACCATACAGGCGCCAGTGGTTTGGGGGGGGGGAGAGGGAGGGAGGGAGTGAGAGGGAGGGAGGGAGGGAGGGAGGGAGGGAGAGAGGGAGAGAGGGAGAGAGGGAGAGAGGGAGAGAGGGAGAGAGGGAGAGAGGGAGAGAGAGAGAGAGAGAGAGAGAGAGACATGGAGGGAGGAAAGGAGGGAGGGAGACGAGAGAGTAAATGTATGTTAGTTGTTGGATTGGCTGATTTCGGGTTGCTTATACACTAGTTACTGATAATTATTTGTTGGTTGTACTAATAGGAAAATGCAAAATTAGTAATGGGTACTGCCTATTTCCACCACAAGCTCATACTCTACACCACACTTTCACACCCTAACCACACACACACACACACACACACACACACACACACACACACACACACACACACACACACACACACACACACACACACACACGCACACACACCAGCCAGCTGCTATATCAAGGCCTCCCAGGAAAATCCAGTTGCTTAATTCTGTAGAAAAGGTTGATGACCGTGAGTGATGTCCCAGGAAACATGAAGGTATATGGAATTTGACAAATAACAGGTAAATCAAATATGCAGAGTGAGCGAAAAATTTGGATAGGTAAAGTTCATATTCTTAAAAAAAAAAAAAAAAAAAAAAAAAAAAAAAAAAAAAAAAAAAAAAAAAAAAGCCGTGTCAACAACAAAGATGGCCGCCACCACCACAAGGCATGAAAATGTCAAAGGTTTCACTGTGGAAAAAATAATGAAAATGTGTTTCTTTGGTAGGTTAGTGATTGACGAATTGCTAAAAATTTATGAAGGGAAATTTCTTAAATTAGATCAATAAAAATGAAGGTCTCAAGAGTGAAATTAATAATTTAAAAGAAAGTGTTTTGCAGCAGGACACGGAAATTACCAGCTTTACTGACAAGTGAAAATCAAGGAAATAGTGAAAGAAACCGAGATATGCAAAATGCAATGGGGCAAATTTGAAGAAATTAACAAAAATATATATACACTCCAAGGAACCTTACAGTGTAGCCAAAACAGGGAGTTAGTTAAGATATGCTACGAGAAATTTTATTGACAGGTCAAATAGATGACGTTACTAAAGGATTGGAAAAAGTGCATATAGAGGAACTCAAAGAAACATGAGCAAGTTGCAAAGGAGAGAAACACGATTAAAGCAATATAAGAAATGTACAACTGAAAGGGGACGTTTCACCAATACAGGATTTAATATTCGCCAGGAAAGAAGAGATTTGACAAACAATACCTTCCTCCCTTGGGTAAGAGCAACCAATATCCTCATCGAAATAAAATATGCAAAGTGTTATAATCCAGAAGCAAATATAAAAAATAAATTAGTTGAAATGCTTGAGTTTAGGAGAGGACACTATGGGGAACTTAGCAAGTTATTTAATGAATCTGATTGGAAAGACTTGGTGTCAAGAAAGGAAATGAGATGTATGCCAAATATCGTGAACTACATGAAGGTACACAAAATTTATACCAAAATAGATGCAGAACTAGAAAACAGGAATGGTTCAGCAAAAACTAAAAGAGAGCCTAATAACAAATGACAAGAAATGACAAATGACAAGGTTGCTGATGATGCTAAGCTAATAAGGAGGATGAGAGACTTGGACGATTGCCATGCCGATCAAGATAACCCAGAAAAAATAAGTGTATGGAGCAACACTAGGAAAATGGAATTCAGTGTGAATAAATGCCATGTTATGGAATGTGGAATAGGAGATAATAGGCCACGCACAACCTAAAAATTATGTGGAAAGGCATCAAAGAACTTACAAGGAAAGAGGTCTAGGGGGTGTTCTGAGGACCACATAAAGGACATTGTGCGAGGAGCCTATACTAAGCTCTCCAACTTCAGAATCTCTTTTAAATACATGGAGGGTGAATTATTAAAGCAACTGTCAACCTTTGTGAGACCAAAATTGGAATATGCTGCTGTTGTATCGTACCCATATCTTAAGAAACACGTCAGTAAACTGGAAAAGGTGCAAAGACATGCTACGAAATGGCTTCCGGAACTGAAAACCCAGAGCACTTCGAGGAGAGGCTACAGGCGATAAATTTGCCAAAGCTGGAATATAGAAACAAGAGAGTCGATATGATCACTAAATACAAAATAGTAACGGAAATCGAAATAATTACAAAGGAATTTGAAATCTGCAACGAGGCCACAGATTCAAGCTAAAGAAACAAAGGTGCCGAAAAATATTAGAAAGTTATTCTTTGCAAACAGTGGTAGATACTCAGAACAAGTTAAGTGGGAAGGTGGTGGATGCCACAGCCTTTTGTCAGTAGTTTCAAAGCGTCACATGACAAAGAGTTTTAGGAAGATTGGACACTACGAGCCTTGCTCTCATCCTGAAACTACACTTAGGTAATTACACCCTCTACTACACACTTACACCCGCTACCACACACTCACACCCGCTACCACACACTCACACCCGCTACCACACACTCACACCCGCTACCACACACTCGCACCCGCTACCACTCTCTCACACCCGCCACCACACACTCACACCCGCCACCACACACTCACACCCGCCACCACACACTCACACCCTCTACCACACACTCACACCAGCTACCACACACTCACACCCGCTACCACACACTCGCACCCGCTACCACTCTCTCACACCCGCCACCACACACTCACACCCGCCACCACACACTCACACCCGCCACCACACACTCACACCCTCTACCACACACTCACACCAGCTACCACACACTCACACCCGCTACCACACACTCGCACCCGCTACCACTCTCTCACACCCGCCACCACACACTCACACCCGCCACCACACACTCACACCCGCCACCACACACTCACACCCGCCACCACACACTCACACCCGCCACCACACACTCACACCCGCTACCACACTCTCACACCCGCTACCACACTCTCGCATCTTCCACCAAAAACTCTTAAACCATCCACTACACTCTCACATCAACCACCATACACCCACCACACCGTTGCCACTTGCAACAGGAAGACCGCCGCCAGTCAGCCTCCGCTTGTCAATATGTCGCCAGACTAATTCCCATGAGAATGTTATTATGCCCAAGGCTACTTCAGCACTCCGGCTCTCGCTCACAATGCTATTTCCTCATTTTACAAATAGGCTATTACGATTCCGGGCATAAGAATCGCTTTTTCACATTTACTTCAAGCGTCAAAAACTGAATAAGTCTTGGTATTATTACTTTCATTTTAAATACAAGGCCAATATATATAATTGTTTCACTTTTGTCACGATACCGAATGAAAATGGCTATTCTAAGCGTTTTTATACTTTCCGGAAGCAACCTCGCACAAGCAATCTAACGAAGGTTTTTCCTGGTAGTCTAGGCTAGGTAATCCCGCGAAGGTTCCTGGTAGCTTAGGCTAGTCAATCCCGCGAAGGTTACTGGTAGTCTAGGCTAGGCAATCCCGCGAAGGTTCCTGGTAGCCTAGGCTAGGGATTCCCACGAAGGTTCCTGGTAGCCTAGGCTAGGCATTCCCACGAAGGCTCCTGGTAACCTAGCCTAGGAAATCCCACGACGGTTCCTGTAGCCTAGCCTAGGCAATCCCACGACGGTTCCTGTAGCCTAGCCTAGGCAATCCCACGACGGTTCCTGTAGCCTAGGCTAGGCAATCCCACGAAGGTTCCTGTAGCCTAGCCTAGGCAATCCCAGGAAGGTTCCTGGTAGCCTAGGCTAGGCAATCCCAGGAAGGTTTCTGGTAGCCTAGCCTAGGCAATCCCACAAAGGTTCCTCGTACCCTAGGCTAGGCAACCCCACGATGGTTACCCCGTAGCCTTGGTAGCCTAGTGAGGTTTACTCAAGCACGTTTATGAACGTAGTTTTGTAAAGTATCTCCAGATACATTCAGCGAACCCCAGAACGTCACAGACGATGCGTCAATAACGTGGTTGAAGATAGGATGACCAAACCACACACTAGAAGATGAAGACACGACAACGACGTTTCGGTCCGTCGTGGACCATTATAAAGTCGATTGTGACCATCATCACAATCGACTTGATAATGGTCCCGGACGGACCGAAACGTCGTCGTCTCTTCATCTTCTAGTGTGGTTTGGTCATCACAATATATATTGTAGGTAGCAGTGTACATAAATAACTACTAAGAAAAGAAATTCAGAAATAAGTACAAAATATAGAATTTTGCTTGCATGGCTCTTAACTTTTTGAACACTTACATGGCATTTTTTCTGAATAATAATAATATAAATGCTACGAGTTAATGATAATAATAATTACATAAATAAATATATATCAGACACTCGTATAAAAGGATAATATGCTGGAAACAACATGGAAAGTGTAAGGAATTACTGAAATTATTCTCAATAGTCCCGACACCCTTAGACAGACATACACAACACACGTTGCCACAACAAAATGTATAATCCCGACAGTAATACAGAAATTACATAAGAAACGCTCTCTTAAAGCTTTTGTTCTTAGCTCTGCGGTATTACCAACTCAAAAACCGCCTTTGGTCTGCCAAATTAAATATCACGCATGCAAAATACATGTACAGCCATTTTTCTTGTTTGGGGTGGTATCGTTATTTGTAGTGCAGCTTATCCGGAGGGAGCGATATCCAGTGTCTCGCCGGAGGAGGCTATCGTGCCACACACACACCTGGATTTATGGTACAATATGCGCTTGGTGGAGTATAGTACAAGGACGGGGGCATGAGGGCGCTAACTCCATTTTGTGTACTCGCCTAGATTTACTCATCTAGATGTGCTTACAAGATCGAACAATAGCTCCTTAGCCCCCGCCTCACCAACTCTCGGTCAACTGAAGCAATGATTTTCAGTTCGTTTCTCTTTTGAAGCTCCTTATTGCGTTCACCTCAACCATCTCTTGCTTTAAGCTCGTTCCATTTTCTTGCAACTCTTATGCTGAAGAAGATTTTATGGCGTTTCTGTGTCGT